GGCATAGAAATGATAGTAAATGGAACTCAATATAATCTAGCATGTCAGGAAACTACATTAGAAAACAGAGGTCACATTTCCAAACAAAATCTCATTATTGCTACCACTGTAAGAAGTCTGTACCTCTATTCCATCAGAGATCAAATTTCAAAAAGCAAAATTCACAAACAGCAGTGTGATAGATTTAAGCAGATTTTTTAAAAAATTAGGTTGCTTTATTGTTCTGCTTTAATATATGCTATTCCGAAATCAAAATGACATGTGGTAGATGATATAAATATTTCAATATTTCAACAGAATAAACAAAGCATTTGGAATACAGGTTACTGACTAATATTAGCCATTATTTACTCAGCAAAGATTATAGAAAAACTTTGTTGCTTAGAATAAAGTTATATGTTAATGGAAACATGAAGCAGATGTTGAAAATGGGATTTCCAGGGATCTAGAAATGAAACAGCACAGAATATATTTATTGGATACAAATCCAGGTTTCAACATAATCATCATGAAAAAAAAATAGGCTACAGTACAATGAAAAATGCCATTGGTATTTATTGTATATTACTTTCTTGTGTCTACATGCTATTTGCCATAGCATGTGAGATTTCAGGTTGCTCTTAAGAAGAAGCCATCTTAGAATTGAACAAATAATATTCTGAATCTGTGTTTTGTAGAATGAAGTGCATGTGCTTGTATAGTTACACATGGATTTGCACAATTAAGCTTGGAATTTTGAAGATTTGTGTTTCCTATGATTCTTTCTCTCAAGAATTACAATTCATAATTTATTATTTGTATTAAAGTTATTGTTTATTTTAATGTCTTCTATTCTAAGGGAATTGTTTGATAAAACACTATAAGAAAAACTGTGAAGGTGCTCTATAGTTGAGTAATGAAAAGATTAATTGGTCTATTCAATTTGATCTATTGGAAAAAGAAAAACGTATTTATCTATCAGTCTATCTATTTATACATCTATATTCTACCTTTTCTCAAGATAGCAAGTATAAAACAGCATACTTTGTATAGAAATCTATAAAAATCAAGCAATTGTGAGTGCTAGTCCTGCCTCAGGCATGAAGCCAGCTAGGTAGCCTTGGATTAGTCATTTGCTCAGCCTTCGGAGTGGGGGGGGAGAGGGGACAATGACAAACTACTTCCAAAAATCTTACTCAAAAAAATTAGTCCAGGGAGTTGTCACAGGAGTAAAGGTCGATTTAAAAAATAAAAAAGTTAATAGTTAAGATGCTTTATACAATTCTTTTTCAAATTATCCATTCTGTTAAACAAAATGTATTTATTTGTTAAACATATTTCTGTGTCATTGCACATGAAAATCAACATGATTTTTCATAACATACAAACAAAAACAAAGTGGCAAAATGTCAGAACAAGCTTTTAGAAAATATGAAATGCAGAAAATATGATTTGAGAATTACAATTAAAAACTTGCTTTCGTGTTTTACAAATATATGGACAGACTCAGATCACAGCACTAGTGTGGAAGCATGGCCATATCACTTCCACTTTCCCAAGGTTTTACACCTTGGGCTTGCATTTCCCTGTCTTCCCTTTTGTAGCGTGCAGTAATAATTTAATATAAAATTTCTATCTTTCATACGTCCAGATGATACAGAGAAGGATGAATTGTAATTATTTTGTATGTCTCCATGATATAAGAAAAATATAGACAATAAATTATGGAAAAATGATAAATGAAAAATGATAATGTATAGATGCCATCTTTGATGTCTTATAGTTTTCTATGTTTGTTTTCCAGCTCTATTATTGCTATTTTATTTTATTGTATTATGTTAATATTCATCAAACATGCATTAGAATGAGCATGAGCTATATATGAAGCATGGAAATAGCATCACCAAAAATCCAGTTCTATTTTTAATGTCATTTTTAAATTAATGACTCACAAGATGCCAAATTTGTATTGTACCTACTGTCTGCTCATTTGTTTCATATTACCATGCATAATATGAACAGTTTATGACTCAAAACTTGGATTATTTTTAAAAAGGCAGAATGCTACATATGAGACGCATACAGGTAGTTCTTGACTTACAACCATCTGTTTAAATCACCCTTCAAAGTTACAGAAGCACTGAAAACAGTGATATATGATCAGTTTTCTCACTTATCACTGTTGCAGCATCCGTACAATCACGTGACCAAACCCTGGATGCTTGGCAACCAGCATATATTACAACAGTTGCAAAATTCCGGGATCCCAAGGTTGTCACCTGCAACTTTCCTAGGGAAAGCAAAGTCAATGGGGGAAGCCAGATCTGCTTAACAAATGCATGATTCACTTAACAACTTCAGTGATTTGCTTAAAAATGCTTTAGAACTTTACAACCACGGCAAAAAAGGTTGTAAAATGGGTCCTGACTTACTTAACTATTCCCTTGCTTAGCAAGGGAAATTTTGAGTTCAATTGTAGTTGTAAGTAGAGCACCACCTGTATCTCAAAATGTATAATGCTTAAACCTATCCTTGAAAATTTACAGCTCAACAGTTGTAATGATTCTGGGTTTTTCTCTTCTCAATATAAATTTGTTTGTTTTCCAGACAGTAAGAAAAAAACGGAAGGAGAGTATTTATAAACTCTTAAAAGTCAAAATAATGTCAAAACTGCATATGTTAACTATACAAATTATATTTACATAGTTAATTGTGCTTCTTAATTAAGCTCTAGAAGAAAGCAGACAACGGGTATTCATGAAATGAATGTATGAGCTGTCCAAGTTTTTTTTTCACAGTATGAAAACAGCTATATAGAACATATGTGTTTTGCAATTACACAGCTTTGTTTTATTTCTGTGCCTCTTTCCCTAACAGGACCCATCTGGTAAGATATGGAACAACCAGTTAAAAAGATAATACTATTGATGAATATTCATAAACAAGTCTCAGCTGAATTTAGCAGACTTATTCCTAGCTAGGTGTGCACAAAATTTCAGTTTGTTATAAATTCAATGATTTCAATAACATTTCATCTTAAATAAATACTAATACTATTGCAGCTTAAGTTTCCATGTTCTTAAGACATTCCAGATATTTCAGATATTATGTTGCTATATGTCAGCGTGTCTTTTACAATATTTATGCTACAGTATAGATCATTTTTACTAACTGTAAATTTACCACTTGCAGTCAGAGAATCATAAAACTTTTCCAGATCCTCAGAACTACACCAGTATCTGTGGTCAAAGAACCCTTCAGAATTTCAATAAACACCAGCATTGCAATAAAGGGCAATTGGCAGAATAATATTTCTAAGTGCTGATTGCCATCAATCATTTGGAGAAACAACAAAAAAGAATTAACTTTGCAACCAGTCCTTGGATTTAAACCACTGCAGGTCTGTAAAGCAAAGCAAAGTAAAATCATGACATTTCACTTAGCAACTGTTTAATTCAATGTCCGAGTTGCCAGTCCCAATTGCAGTCACTAAACTAGGACTACTTGTTACAGGGTGAATAAATGGAAATGTATTCCATTTGTTAGAAGTACAGTATATAGCTACATAAGGAAAATTTCTATAATCTGAGTTCCATTTCAAAATGTAAGTAGAATATATCTTTACAATATGTCTATAAGACTTTCCTTTGAAAAGAATGTTAATACCTTATGTGTTTTGGGAGGGGAAAAGGGATCATGCAATTTCTCCATGACTGAGGAACACGTTCTAGTCCATTCTATCTTCCCCACATTCAGAAGGCATGACTGTATTCTAAATAAAGATTTCTCCTTTCATTTAAGAGTTTAACATGTGGTTTTTGCTATACTCTTCTATTTATCTGTGGAATGCTTTAATCGGGAAAATCATTTGGCATCCATTTAATGTTCTTCTGGGGTAGGGGTGTCAAACTCAATTTCATTGAGGGCCACATCAGTGTTGAGCTGGGGGGGGGCTGGGATGGGTGTGTCTGGATGGCATGGCCAGCATGACGTCACTTGTGTGTGGGGAATCTGTGATGGCCCAAGTGCTCTGCCAGTGAAAAGAGGCTCTTGAGCTCAGTTTTTGGCTGGGACAGCCTCCTGCAATCCTCTGCCAATGAAAACGGAGCTTGGAGGAGGCTTCACACAGCCCTCATGAGTTCTGTTTTCACTGGCAGAGGCGCTGCGGGCCAGTCCTTCGCTATTTCCAGGGCAGCCCCATGGGCCAGATCTAAGCACCCCACGGGCCAAATCCAGCCTCTGGGCCTTGAGTTGACACCCCTGTTCTGGGGCATTAAGTGGAGGGTTTAAAAAAAAACTCAGTAAACACTAGCAACTCTTTTAGTGCTTTTTATGTTTTACTTGTTCCTGGTGCATTTGCTACTTTTTGTCATTCTAGTTAGTGATTCTTATGTGGTGCTTTGTCATCATTAAGTTCTATGGGCTTAATTAAACCAAAGAAATTCAGCTACTGGGCAGTTTAAAAATGTAATAAACAAACACAGTAATTAATGGGAAAGCTCAGCCCTATTTAGTATTCTTGTTAAAAGGGATTCAACATTATTAGTTTCCACACGACAATGGTACTGAGAAATTTATCAGTTTAGTTTATGTCCCTATAAATAATTTAAATACTTATTTTGAGTTTTTAATTTGAATCCATTGAAAAAGCAGATAAATATTAATTTATAATTAATTACTTCAAAATAATGGATCTGATGTGTTCTCTCATTAGCTATAATTAACCCAATAACTAATCTGACATAAACAAATTGTAAGATAATTACTCTTAAAGAGAATATTTGTAGCTCAGAGTTGAAATGAGGAGTCACTGGTGCTCTCTGAGCTTGGTTGTTTTCTTGCAGACGTTTCATTATCCAAACTGGATAATATTATCAGAGACTAATTCTGCTGATTTTGTGTGTGTGCATGCAGATGTTTGTGTCTACATGTGCACACATTTGTAGAAAGATATTTTTTGGCTTGCCAATAATTAAATGGAAGTATATGACGTGGAACTAAAACTTCACTATAGTACTTACAGCATTGAAGTTGGGAAAGAGATTGACAGCTGCAGCAGTGTCCAGTGGGAATGGAAGAAAGGGTTTGAGATCCAATGATGGTGGCAAGGAGGGAATTGAAGGTCGTACCAGGGCTGGAAAAGCAGGACTCTGGCATGTACCTCCTATATAAAGAAAAAGAAAAGAACAAATGAAATCATACATAATTGTTTCTTAATTTAGTTGCATTCTAATTTGGACCGCAGGTATTAAAACTAAATCAGTAAAAAACATTTTTTTATCAATCCCATTTTTAAAGGAAGCCTAGCAGGAAGCAATTATTTTTTCCACTAGTATTGAGTTCCAGATTGCTCCAAGTATGAACCACATCTCCAATATCATTTTTACTCCATGAAGCTGAGGAATCCTCTGAGGTATATAAACGCAGTTAGAATTAGAGGTTGGCAGTTAGGAGGAAGGTGAATAACTTATCCTTCTCAGAAGAAAAAAGAAGTCAAAAATATTTGCCTTTTAAAAAAGAAGAATTTATGCAGCCCTACGATTGCAACAGATAAGCCCACAGATAAGTCTGTAATTTTCTTCTTCCAAAAGTTACTGTTTAAAATTGTGGTTTTTGTCAATTTGTGTCAAATAGCCTCTGGCAAATATCCTAAAGTGCAGAAAAAACAATTGCCACCAACCTGCCTTCCATTGAGGACTTGTATACCGCATGAGTTAAAAAGAGGGCTGTGAAAATATCTACAGACCCCTCACATCCTGCACATAAATTGTTTCAACTTCTACCCTCAAAACAATGCTATAGGACATTGCACACCAGAACAACTAGACACAAGGACAGTTTTTCCTCTGTTAAACAACTAATTCCCACAACACTGTCAACTTATTGACTAAGACTGTATTACTGTTATTCCTCTCATTCTTCCTAGTACCTATCTCTTCCCACTTATGACTACAACTAAGTTGTTGTATCTTTACAATTTATATTATTTTATTTGCTTCCTAGTATGGTTTGATTGTTTATTAATAACCTATGACTATCACTAAGTGTTGAATCTTATGATTCTTGATGAATGTATTTTTTTCCTTTGTGTACACTGAGAGCATATGCACCAAAGACAAATTCCTTGTGTGTCCAATCACACTTGACCAATAAAGAATTCTGTTCTGTTCTATTCTACTCTATTTTATAGCATGCCTGCAGGCAAAAGTAATATGAAAATTAGCCATGAAATATGATTTTATTGATCAAAGACAGCCTATTATATATGAATGGGAGAAAAGATATAAAGACATTTTCAAATTACTCTATAAGGAAAAACCATTTCTGTTATCAACATTTAAAGATTCTATTTATACTCTTAATAAATTAATTCATGTATTTATCCATAAGGGGCTTTATAATTAACTGATTTGTGATTGATTTCAGTGAATAACTTAGGGAAAAAAATTATAAAAGCAGGCAATAGAATATGAAATGAAGCATTCCCTAAAATTCTGGAAGAATTTTCAAATCATTTGGCAAATATATTCCTATATTGATCTTTGCTTTCTTTATAACAGTAGGAAAGAATATTGAAATGAAACTGCATTTCTCTTGGATTTTTTAAAATAATTTTTATATTTTTATATTTTTAAAAAACATCTCTTGGTGAACAGTGAGGTTCCAGGTTTTTACATTTCAATGCAAACATGACCATAGTTACATATTCATCTTTCTTATTCAATTGCATATCATATTATTACTTATTCTATTTTCCTTTAAATATTCTCAAATATTAAATTCATTACACCTATTTTATGCAATTCCAGTTCATATATTAATTTATTTCATTTTTCTTAAAATATTCTCATATCTTATTTTACAATATTATCTAAAATTCTTATTTAATTTCTATATTCATTACACATATTGCTTTTATCTGTCACATTTGCAATTTTATCACATATTGTTATTCCATTCATTATTCAATAAATTTTATCCTTATTTTAATAATTCAAAAAGTTGTCCCCTTTATGTCAATTTGAGCTTGCCACCTATTTACCATATACATTCCTTCAATTTATTCCCTTTAATTTATTATAAAAATTTACCATAGTGTAGTCATTTTTAATTACCACATTCTACATTACTAATAATATTCTCCAAACTACTACATATCACATATGCATATATATTTTGTCAGATTCTGCATGGTATTCTTTTTCTCAATTACCTTATAAATCATCTATATATTCCAAAAATATTAATCTGTTCAATTAATTGTAGAAACTGATATTATTCTTTCCATTACAATTCTCATAATTCATTTTAACTTTATTCATTGTTTCATTAAATATCAATTAATATTCTTATAATAAATTCCAAGTTCCACCCTTTCTTTTCGCTTTTCCCTTTTTAAACTTTTATTAATTTTGCTAATTCTAGTTATTAGCTATTACTTCTTTTTAACATGTTCAATTATAGCATTTACTTATGCCTATTTAGTGCCAAAAGTCCAATAATTATCCAGTTTAATTTCCAAGCCTTTTGTAATAAGGTATTTTCCTCTAAATTTTCCACCTCCAAATTAATTCATTTCAAAACCAAAATCATAAGTTCAGATTTTCTTCTCACTCTCTCTGGTTGCCACTTTTACACACTTTCATCAAAAATAATTCTTTATTTCTTAATTCCGGGGTACCTTAATGTCCATATATATTGCCTGGTTCACACACCGCCCACAACTTCACCATTCCAGCACAGTCTTAGTTTCCCGGATTGCCTCCCATCTTCATGGTAGCCATTTTAGACCACCACTAAAACTTGTATTTGGAGGGGGTTTATCTTATCAAGGAGGGGAGATGCGGCTCCCCTTAACCCTCTAAGTGCTCCCACTTTCTTCACCACCCTTCCAGGGTGGTTCTGATCTCAATTAGGATCCTTCAACAAGCGAGATCATGGATTCCGCTCAGACATGATAGAAAAACAACCGGAATTCCATTTCTCTTGGATTTTGATAAGCATATTTCTCTTTGAGATGGATCACCATTTGTTACTAGCTCCTGATGACAGATTACAACATACTGAATATGTCTATACTATACATAGTCTATATATAAAAATCTATATGTATTTGTTTAAAATGGTTCTCTATTTTGGTACATCTCTAGATCATCATCTTAGGTGTTAAATAATTCCTGCAAATGGTGATCATGTAACTGTGGACTATGTGATAGTTGTAAAGATCCACCAGTTGAATGGTAATCATATGATCACAAGGATGTTACTACAGTTATAAGCACAAAAATTTGTTATAAAGTTAGTTTTTCAGCATTAGCATTTGATGTCATAACATCAAACAGGCAGTTTTTAAGCAAGTCTACATGTATTAAAATGCTGTGAAAACATATCTCAACTGAGGCTTCATTTCAAGTGAAGATTCATGATATAGTATACTAAATCATCCATTCTTTGACTTTTGGTAGGAAATCAGTTGGCAGCCCTTTCTTACTATCTTTTCAGTTACTTTCTAAAATGCCTGAATGACAAAATGTAAGTGATAAGGAAATGTCTGTCTAATAAATAAATCAAGCAGTTTAATTGATAGCTCATATTTATTTCACACTGTATACTGATTTTCTTGGAATCTCTTGTGATTTACAACACTTGTGAAAGTTGAAATTGAATCTGACCTTTAGAAAATGGCTATTATGGAAAGAGAGACAATAAAAGAATAATACATGGAGTCAATGTTCAACTTAGAGAACCAGACAGTCATTCATCAGCTAAATATCAGCTAAATTGACCTGAGGGAATCAGATGCATTTAAGATACTGCAATGAGTGCTGAGATGTTGGCCACATAGACCAAATACTTGAAAAATCCAGTATTTGAGTACAATAAATGAATATAAATATACAAAAATAAGAACCAGACAGTTACAAAGTAGAATGCTGTTTTTCATAGATTAAGTCAGTTAGCCAATCAAGTTCTTCTGCCTGATATTCATTTCTATTTGATGGATTTCTACAGTGTTCTAAATAATAAGCATTCTATATTCTCTGAACACAGACTATCTTTACTATCTTTTGTTTTTTCCTTGCTTTCTCACTGTTTTTTCTCCCACAAATTGCAGGCTCCCTCAAAACAAATGCTATCTTCCTCTGAAGAAGGGGCTCATTTTTGTAATGTAGACACTGGTATTTATGAATTAGAATTTGCAGGTTAGTGCCTGTGGGTGCCATAATTCCTGCAATAGTCTTAAACAGCAGGAATACCTTACTAGTTCTTTGGTATGTATTACTTTGGTATTTATTAATTTCACTTTATTCGTGTACTTTTCATCAGAATCAGTTGCCAACCCATAATATCAAACAGTTGGAAACAGAATTAGTTCCTTTGCCTAACAATAATTCAGTTTGACAAATACAGATTGGAATGACAAAATGTTATGATTTATGTTCACTGATAAAAGCCCCATTACTCCCTTTGCTAAAGATACTCCATGTTGCTGCACATGCTAGAGCAGACAACTCTTATGGCAACTGCCAGTAAGAATTGTATAAGAAGAGACTTTATGGATAAACATCATAGAAATGTCTTTGTCAAGGAGAAGGAATGTCTTTAAATTGCTAAATAAACTCTATCATTTTGCATATTTTAAATGAAAACATTTTGTTCTGTTTATATGCTTGTATTCAATTCTCACAATAGTAACCAAAACATCATCTATTAGGTTTTGTAATATCACACTCACAATTGACAGATTTATTCTTCTGGGAGAAAAAATATGTTTGAATAAGTTCTAAATTGTTTTTTTTTAATATCTGGAAAGTACAAAAATAACAACATTGCCTTGATCTTTCAGTGCAACTTAGGTTCATTACAGTGTAATAGGGACCTGATAACACCGAAGCTCTCCTGTAATTCCCAATAATACTTTTAATTTATTTGATGCTATATTAGGGAAATAAGGACTATAGGTATAGAAAAGTATATGGGTGGTGGTGATAGGTCTCTGTCTGTGTCTATATCATAACACATAAGCGATTTCAATTCTACACAAAGTTAATAATAACTTAAACAATAAGAATGAAATATTTTAATTGAAACACTATTACATATTCACTCAAATATTCATTTTTGTTACATGGTAAGCAAACATCAGTAAACAATTGAACCTGG